AAAAAAAAAAAAAAAAATAGACTTTAAGGGTAAGAAGAAAACAAAGCTTCAGAGTTCATTCATTTGAGATAAATCTTTTGAGAGTCTCTGAACCACATCAGATACATGCTGAGGTTAATCTAATAATCCAGGTTTACAGCAGAAAGTCCTGCCCACCCCCCAAAACAGGACAGTCACTTAGGTATTGCATCATCATTAGCCTTCTGTTTCAATTAAAGATTATCTTCAAAAGGGAAACTATTAAATTAAGATACACTTCATCACAAACAGTCTTACGACCTCCCTTCTGAGGTCTGGATTGCTAGCTGACACCACTGTCAGAGGCCCCCTGCCTAAGCGCCTCCGCTCGGGTATCTCCGGTCAGTTGTGCAATGTCCCATCACAGCAGATGCTGCTCCTGCTGTAATACAGTGCGTATAAGAAGAAACCAAGGGGAGATATTCTAGCTGTTGCACATGCAGCTGAGATACTTACTCTGCAGTCTGCAGACCACTGCCACAGTTGCAACACAGGACCAACAGAAATGAAAGCCTTAGCTAACCAGCAGTACTGCACACCTTCTTGAGTAAGGCTAACAAAAACTGTATTAGCTTCACTTATGACACCTAAAACCTGAAAATCAAGATAGCTCAGGGGGCATGGATGCACCTGAAAGAGGGACACAGGGTAGAGGTAACTACAGGAGGAAGCAGGAAGAGAGATGTTATATTACAGGGACTGCAATCAATGTTCTGAAACAATGTCCATGAACTGGTGCATGGAAAACGAATTTTCTTTGTAAAGTTTTGTCCAAATCACAATAAACATTTAAAAAAAACTGAAAATCATTTTCACTTTCCCAATGACCCTTATAAGATATAATAAGTTTCCTAAGTCAGTGTACAGAAAACCTTCAGAACAAAATCTGACCAGCCACCAATGCAGACTCAGGTAGACAGCCCTTCTGGCATATGGAAATCCAAAAATCTCAGTGCTGAATAAAACCACATAGTAACATACTATAGCCAGAATAAGTTGCTGACTAAAAACAGCTTTTCTTACTTTTTAACTTCCCTATTTGGGCTGAAAACTTCCCTGCTTTGTAAATAAGTGATATTTATCAAATGCAAAGGCACCAATAGTCAAGATAGGAGATTAAGAAAAAGAAGCAAGACACAAACAAACACACATACACCCCTTTTCCCTGTGTCCATTCTAATGATGTTATGCCAGTTAGAGAACTATGGTTGCCTTGGAATTTTATTTTTTCCTAATTATACTGATACTTAATCAAAAAGGAACTCCATATTCCCCACATAAACCTTTCTCCTTTTCTCTTACCTAGATCTAGTTTGCTCCTGCGAGGACTGAATAGTGTATACTCATTATACATTGTCACTATATGGAACAGTGATTGAAAGATACACATACAGCAAAAACACACAGTGTGTACGGAATACTGGGGGAAAGTTCTGCCCCATAGTATAGGACTTCTGTTATATGTGATTAGACCACAAATGAAAGAATAATGGTATTACTCATTATACACTGTCACTATACAGAAGAGTGACTGAAAGATACACATACAGCAAATACATACAGTGTGTATGGGATACTGGGGGAAAGTTCTGCCATACATTATAGGACTTCTGTTACATGTGATTAGACCACAAGTGAAAGAATAGTGGTATTACTGATTATACACTGTCACTATACGGAACAGTGATTGAAAGATACACATATAGCAAATACACATACAGTGTGTACAGGATACTGGGGAAAAGTTCTGCCACAACAGGACTTCTGTTATGTATGATTAGAACCCAAACTTTGAATTAAAATTTGATCAAAAAGACCAAAATGACTGATTTAGATAAGCTTGCTATAATACAGAAGACAGAAGAGTGGAAAGATTTAGGACTTAAGAACGTAATCAGGCTTTGTTCTCGCAGACTCAAAAATGGTGTGCCTTACAAGAGATCAACTAATGACAAACGCAAGCTTCATTTTGGTAAAACGTTTTACAAATTACCATCTACAGGCTAGAGAACAATAAACATGCTTAAACCTCAACTTCTTAAAACATCCTATTTATTCCAGCTAGCCGTTAAGGGAAAAAATCATGTAAGTGTAAAACAAAGTCAGCAAAGCACCTAGCGGAGCTTCAAGAACTATTTATAAGAAAGTCACATGTCCAGTCCAGGAACAGCATTTCCACACATTTCTAAATTTACCCTCCTCCAGCTGCACTACTTCAGGATGTCTCTGTATTCACTAATGTAGTTTCTCCCGCTGAATTCCAGCAATAATGGGATAAAAGGTGCCCACACAATTTATCCAAATCAAGAGACTGTATGTGAGTATCACTCATAGCTGTCAGAAGAACAGGACTGTTCCAGGCCAAACAAGACCTAAGATCTTCCTACTTAAATGTGAGAAATGTTCACAGAGTCCTGGAGTCAGCCATTAATTTGCTTACCATCTCCACTATGTTCAGAGCAAAGCGGAGGATGGAATTTTCATGGAAGTGGCAAGATCAATGGGCCATTCCCAGGCTCAGCAACAAGCCCTGGCCGGCAAACGGCAGCAGGAGCTCTGGGTTGTAACTGACGTGGAGTCTGCGAGATCTGAGGGTTCCTTCACTAGTTTAAAAAAAAAGGTTGGAGTCAGGATGTAGCTGGGAAAGGAGGATGAGAAAAATCAACCTGGTCTACACAGGGATTAAACCCATAATCTAACCAACTGTCAATCAACTACAGCTCATCTTACTGCCACTAAACAGACGGTTTTCAATTTTTACCTACTAGATCAAGAACCACTTGTAAGAGTCATGTGCCAGTTCAGAAACAGCACTTTTGTGCCATTTCCACACTTACTATCCTTCACAGGGTCTCACTACTCCATGATCTTTGTATTCACTAATGTAATTTTCCCCCTTGAATTCCCGTAATAGTAATACAATTAAAAAAAAAAAAAACCTAGAGCATTTATATTACATGCCAAAAACTGTGAAGAAGCACATTAAAACCAAACTCACTGCTGTCGAGTCGTTTCCAGCTCATAGTGACCCCTCCTATCTGTATTAACCCCTCCTATGTACACACATTCAAGTAATCCTTTTAACAACCCTCTCAACTATGGTTACTTGAGAAGTATAGGCCCTGGAGCCAAAAGGCTGAATTCGAGCCCCAGCTTCACCACTTCCAGCTGTACTGTCCTTGAATAAGTTACCTAACCTATCTAGGCCTCAGTGCTATCATCTATTCAGCAATAGCCCTGTGAGTTTCTATAAAAAACAGAAACTCACAGAGTAGTGTAAGTCTTAACCCACTGTAGTAGTCAATTCCAACTCAGTGACCCTAAAGGACAGAGTAGAACTGTCCCATACGGTTTCCAAGGCTGTATCTTTACAGAAGGAGCCCTGGTGGTGCAGTAGTTAAAGTGATTGCCAACCACCTGAAAGATCAGCAGTTAGAACTCACCATCCACTCTGTGGGAGAAAGATGAGGCAGTCTGCTTCCGTACCAATTTCCAGCTCTGGAAACCCTATGGGACAGTTCTATTCTGTTCTATATGGTCACTACGAATCAGAACAACTCAACGGCAATGGGTTTAGGCATCTTTATGGAAGCAGACTGTCGCATCTCTCTCCCATGGAGCAGCTGGTAGGTTCAAATTGTAGACATTTCAGTTAGCTGGCAAGTGCTTAACCACTGTGCCACCAGGACTCTGTCCTTGTAAGTCTTAAGTAAGTTAATCCATGTAAAGCTCTTGAAAACAGCATCGCTCATAATAAATGCTAGTAAGTGCCAAAGTCTATATGATGGATAAAGAAACTAAAGCACATTTATTCACTAACTTTTCCAAGAGCACACTGCTAGTTATGTGACAAAGCCAAGATCCAAACCCACAATCTGGGTCTACAGTCCAGGCTCTTAGCCACTATGTTATCCTGCCTCTAGGAGCTTCATCTCCAGTTTCAAATTAACAAGGGCCCATTCTTTTATGCATGTGGAAAGATGATTTTTAAAACCATGCAATTGCCATAACCAAAGTACTAAGACACTAGACACCCACTGTCACCCACCACACATTAAGGCGCTCTGGTGGTACAATGATTAAGACATTTGGCTGCTAACCCAGAGGTTGGTAGTTGGAACCCACTAGCTGCTCCACGGAAGAAAGATGGGTCTATTTCCCCAAAGATTTACAGCCTTGGAAACTCTATGGGGGGGGGGGGTTGTTTCTATGAGTCAGAATCGACTCAATGGCAGTGAGTTTGGTTTTTTTATTTAATGACCCACATGACAGCAGGCCGTATCACAAACCCTGGAGCAGCTCAAGCACACAGCCTTCTGGAACAACCAAAGGCCACGCTTCATCCTGCTCTGGTCATCCTCCTCCAAGCCTGGAAGGCACCCAGGCTCAGAAGTACGCCACACCTGGGGGACCGCCCTGTCTTTCTGCAAATGCAGAACAAGCCCGTGCCAGTGTGCCGGAGAGAGATTCAAGCACAGTCGTCTCCTTCCTTCCCTGCTTCTCCTGCAACATCAGCAAATTCCAGAAGCAGCAGACTGTGCCTGCTCCGGCACCAATCCTTAAGAGTGCATTTTAATCAGAAGAAATTCAAAGACAACTGAAGAGCAACTTACCTTTTTAAAAATTTTTCCATTTGGTTGCACTTCATCTTCCTCATTTAAAATTTCACGGGTTCCCAGAAGCCTTTTGTCCTTAAATTTGTTTTTTGCGTATGCAAACACTTTGTCTAGCGTGTCACATCCAGGGTACAATACTGAAGCCAAACCACCCAGACTGTTCACAGATCTATACGCAGACTCCGGTTCTGAATTTATAGGTTTTGCTTTAATTTGGTTTGATTTTCGTCTTGATGCAGACAAGAAATAAAATGGAATGTATGTTAAAATAGTATAAAGTGCTATTATAAAGTGTATGAAATATAAAAGAATGGGGTTGATGGTGTGCTTTAACTTCATTGTAGATGGTTTTGAAGACACGTGGTTATTCATAGTGCTCAGAAAGTCGAATTAACAGATTTCAGTAAGAATCTAGAAGGAAGAAAAAGAAAAATATGTTTTAAATCATTTTTAATTAACTGCAAAGAAAACTTTTCCATATTAGATAGAAAACTCAAGGGGCAGCACCTAGTACACTGGCCCCTACCATGGCCTGTCCACTCTTGACATTTCTAAGACCCTCGTTTGTGCGAGGCTTATTAACCAGAGACTGGTTCGCTGCTGTGTCACACTGTAAACAGAAAGTCTTCCCAAGCTAACCCCAAGTATCCACAAGCATTTCCCAGTGCAGGAGAGCCAAAACAACAGCGGCCAGGAACGTATCCGCTTCCTGTCCTTCGGTGCCTCGGTGTGTTAGCAATGGCAAGTACTCTGCCTATCTGCCTCATTCTCCTCTCTCAGGCCGGTAGCCAGCAGCCACATAATCAAGGCGTTCTTTCCCAGTGAGCCCCAGTCTCATGCTATGCAGCAAGCAAAATTCGGAGTTGTCAGATAACATGAGATCCATTTCCTATTGTGGAATTAAGTATTTTTCGATTTAAGCAGGTTAGACTGTAAGATAAGAAGCCAGTAAGCTTTGCTCATTTTATACGCTGCATTCACCAAGTTTACAGAGAATCAACTACTTGCCAGATATTGTTCTAAGTATTGGGAATGTAACAGTAAACACAAGTCTAAGTGTCTGCTCTCATGGAATCTACAAAGTTGTCTTGGTTCCCAAGTGCTGCTATAACAGAAATAAAAGCGGATGGCTTTAACAAAGAGGAATTCATTCTCTTACAGCATAAGCGGCTAGCAGTCTAAGTTGAGAGTGCCAGCTCTATGGGGTGGGTGAAGGTCCCTCAGCCTCGGGCTTCAGCTCTGCTTCTTGCTCCCAGCCCACTGGGGCTTACAGGCTTCTTTCTGACTCACACAGCTATTGGCTGCTGAGGCTGTCAAACCCAAGGTCAACAGGTAAAATGGCACAATCCCAAGAACGACAAGCAACACGGCAGGCCACTGATTCAAGTCCAGAACAATTCCAAGACTGGCAGACAAGGCAGCAGGCAGGTTCAAGTCCAGGGACTGGAGATGAAGACTTGGCCAAATGTAGATCCAAATGTACTAAAAGCTAGGGACCTTTCTCAAAGCTTCTCCATATACACTGGAAGCAGGCTATATATTCTGAAGGCAGGTATGTAGCTACTCACACCAGATTTCACCAGAGTTGAGTCCAGTCTCATCATGGGGATAACTGCCTCCAGCTGCCGAGTACTCGAAACCAGCCCAGCCAGGTTGACACACCCTTAGCGACCACACGTCATTGGGAGTGGAGAAAAAGCATGTCTGCAGCACCAGGTGGCGATGAATGCCATGAGGAAAACGAACCCAGGTAAGAAAAACCACAGCCCAGCCAGGCTGACACAATCTTAACGACCACAAATCTTTGGGAGTGGAGAAAAAGCATGTCTGCACACCAGGTGGCGATGAATGCCACAAGGAAAACTAACCCAGGTAAGAGAAACAGTTGGGAGTAGAGAAAAAGCACGTCTGCAGCACCAGGTGGCCATGAATGCCAGGAGGAAAACTAACCCAGGTAAGAGAAACAGAAGGTGGCTGGGGCAGAACTGGAAGGCGCTCTCTTATATGGGTGGCCAGGGAGAGGGTCTCGGGCACATGATATCTGAAGAGAGTTACAAGGAAGGCAAGATGGGGGATAGGGGGCCATGCACCTTTTTGAGGAAGAAAGAGCTTGTTTGATAATTACGTAATAATACAATTTCTGAAGAAACAAAACTTAAGCAAACTAATGACTCCATATTCATGATAAAAATCAAGTGGGCTATGTGTGTCCCCGGCCAAGCTCACTCACCAGGGCACAAGTGTGGAACAAGCAGAGTGCCGAATTAACCAGGGAAGGGGTCTGGCCAGAGCAGGACCAGAGCACAGGGGCAGGGGAGACAAAAGAACTGAGGCTGTTTTCAAGGAAGTGAGTAAAATGGCCGATGAGGAAATTTTACGTTGAAAAGGGAAGGTCAGGAGGAGGAAAAGGGTTTGTGCGAAGGAGATTTCAAAGAACACAGTGGCTGTGAGTCAATTCTGACTCACGGTGACCCCAAGTGTACCCAAGCAAACTGTGCTTCACAGGGTCTCCAACAGGTAATTTTTTAGGAGTACCAGGCCTTTCTTCCAATGCACCTCTGAGTGGACTCAGATCTCCAACCATTCAGTTAACAACCAACAGTGCTGATCATCTGCACCACCCAGGGACCCCGGAAAAGGGGACAGCATAATCAACAGAAATAGATCCTAGGTTCATTTAATGTATTAGTGAAGTTAAGGTAATAAAAAGTATGATTTATGCACAGGGAGACAGCTGAGGGGGCAGGAATGCAATGGAGGGATGGACACAGGGAAGAGGTAACTATCGGGAAGAAGTGGGAGGGAAGCTGTTGCACTGGGATAAATTACAGTCGATGTCATGAGACAAAGTGCATGTGAGCTGCTGTACTGAAAATGAATTTGCTCTGTAAACTTTCACCCAAATAGTTAGTTAGTTAGTCTGAGTGACTGAGTGAGTGAATAGATAGATAGACAGACAGTAATGAGCTGAAAACATGTAGTGCTGTCTGAGTAAAATGCCTGACACTGGAATGATGGAGAGACTGCGCTTGTCACGTCAAGGTACAGGTTATGATCATGCAGAAGGGGCGGCAAAGGCAGGCTAGAGAATGAGATCATTCAAGGGCAGGAGAAAACAAAATTTAATTTCCAGAGTTGGTGGAAAACGAGAGTTACTTGCAGAATCTAACACATCTGTCGACATCCAAAGGAAGAAAGAGCTCAATGAACCTATTATAGTCACACCTAATATAGTCAGTCTTTTATGGCCCACCTACCCTACCCACCTAATCATGAAAAAGCATTCTAAGAGTTCGGCTTCAGAGGTATGGAGAACCCCAACACCGGAAATGCTCCCACAAACTCACTGGCAAGAGAGGGAGTGTGCCAGGACAGAGAGATGTGAAGAGAAAGTGCCCCAGAAAGTTTGACAGTCCACAAACCATTTCTCAGTTAATACTGCGCACCTCGCAACTGAGTTCCTTCTGTTTCTTCTTTTCAGCCTACAACACTCAAGCATGTACTAATACTATATAATGTTCTATCTGCAAACTGCATACATATACACACACAGCATTTTATCTCTGATGAAATATAAATTGATTTGCACAGTAATGGGCATAAAGGAATCTGTATTTGCTGGCATTAAATGTGCCTAAACTTTTCATCAAGCTTGCAAAACATGGGAAATTATTCTGAGAACCAACCATACAAGCACTGTGCATGAAGCTTTTCATATTGCCTCATTTCATTATCACAAAAACCCAATTTCAAGCATATCATGCCCAAAGGCACTTACAGCTAGTGTTAGAGTTAATGTCAGGTGATGTCGAGGCACTTTTGACTCAGAGCGACACTATAAACAATAGAAGGAAACACTGTCAAGGCCTGTGCCACCCTCACTTTCGTTGCTATGTTTCTAGCTACTATGTCAATCTATCTCATTAAGGGTCTTCGTCTTTTTCACTGACCCTCTACTTTACCAAGCATGATGTCCTTCCACAGGGACTGCTCCCTCCTAATAACATGTACAAAGTACATAAGACAAGTCTCATCATCCTCTCTGCTGAAGAGCACTCTGGATGTACTTCTTCCAAGACAGATTTGTTCATTCTTCTTCAAGTCCATGGCATAGTCAATATTCTTTCAATGCTATAATTCAAAAGCATCAATTCTTCTTTGGTCTTCCTTAATCATTGTCTAGCTTTCTCATTCGTATGAGAAGACTGAGAATACCACGGCTTAGGGCAGGCACATCTTGGTCCTTAAAGTGACATCTTTGTTGTTTAATACTTTACAAAGGTCTTTTGCAGTAGATTTGCCCAGTGCAATACATCATTTAAATTCTTGACTACTGCTTCTATGGGTGTTGATAGCTGCATGATATCCTTTGACCACATGACCAAAAGTTGTTGTTGTTGTTAGCTGCCGTCAAGTCAATTCCGACCCACAGCGACCCCATGTATAATTTGTTATCCATAATTTGTCAAGATCCACACAATCAAATGCCTTTGCATAGTCAATAAAACACAAGTAAACATCTTTCTGGTATTCTTTGCCTTGAGCCAAGAACCATCTGACAACAGCTATGATATCCCTTGTTCCACGTCCTCTTCTGAATCCAGCTTGAACCTCTGGAAGTTCTCTGTCAATATACTGCTGCAAACGTTTCTGAATTATCTTCAGTAAGATCTTACTTGCATGCAATATTAATGATATTGTTCTGTAATTTCCACATTCTGCGGGATCACCTTTCTTTGGAATGGGTACAAATATGGATCTCTTCCAGTCAGTTGGCTAGGTAGCTGTCTTCCAAATCTCTTGGCATAACCGAGTGAGTGCCTCCAGGGGGCATCCGTTTGTTGAAATATCTCAATGGGTATTCTGTCCATTCCCAGAGCCTTGCTTTTCGTCAGTTCCTTCAATGCAGCTTCGACTTCCTCCTTCAGTATCATTGGTTTTAGATCATATGCCACCTCCTGGAATGGATGAAGATCTACCAGTTCTTTTTGGTACAGTGACTCTGTGTATCCCTTCCATCTTCTTTTGATGTTCCCTGCATCATTCAATATTTTGCCATTAGAATCTTTCAATATTGCAACTTGAGGCTTAAATTTTTTCCTCAATTCTTTAGGATTGAGAAATGCCGAGCATGTTCTTCCCTTTTGGTTTTCTAACTCCAGGTCTTGGCACATTTCCTTATAGTAATTGGCTTTGTCTGTTCAAGCTGCTCTTTGAAATCTTCGATTCAGCTCTTTTATCTTATCATTTCTTCCATTTGCTTTAGCTACTCTCCACTCAAGGGCAAGTTTCAGAGTCTCTGACGTCCATTTTGGTCTTCTCTCCTTTTGTTGTCTTTTTAGTGACTTCTTGCTTTCTTCATGAACGATCTC